ATGGTTATGTGATTTTGAGATTCAAGGTACCTCTGAGGATGTAATAGTTAAGCTTGCTTTCCTTAGTATGGATGGTCACTTGATTCACTGGTTTAATTTGAACTGAATGGAGATGATGATAATATGATAAGAGAAGATGATTAGTGAAGGAATAAATTTATTAATATATATCTTATTCGTGAAATGAATAAAGAAATGTAATGTGGCCTAGTGGTGCAGTATCTTTCAAAGAAATCAAATAGGTGTGAGTTCAATTCGTGGCGAAGGCAAATTTTAGGATTTTTTTGGAATTTTAGTAACCATGGTAACTAACACATGCCACGTCAGATGCCACACATATGAATATATGCCACATCAGATGCCACGCGTGCAAAAATAGACGCAATTTGTGAGAATTAGATGGAAATGACCTAATTGACGCCGTTTGTAAACATAAGGGATTGCATTGACACTTTTTAAAATTAAGGGTCCAAAATGGACCCCGAGATAAAGTTAAGGAACTATATACAAATATAGTTGATGTGCGACTTATATATAAATATTCTTTAACAAATAAATACACATTGCATCACACCCCCACAATTGAAGCGAGAGGTTGAATGACGCTTAGTCTAGTCCGGAAATCATCAAAGAGAACTCTAGGGAGGTCATTTGTGAAGATATCAGCAATCTAGTGTCAGGAAGGAACGTGAAGAACGTATGTTTGTTGTTGTTGTTGTGGGTGGTGGTGGTGGTGTTTCCACCTATTGCCAATGTTGAATGGTAAAAGGAATCCTTATTTTATTTTGGAATAATTCCTCAATGTTGTCAATTAAAGAAAATATTATGTAATACATTGCTTTCTTCAGTTGACAATATTGAGAAATTTATTAATAATCATACTGCAATTTGTTTTGAATATAACGTGTTGTTTAATTATTCTAACACACAAAGAAATTGGTGAAAAGTAAGAAATTGAAAAGGGAAACAATACACATTTCTATAATAAAAAAAATTCATTCACCATTTTTTGTGTGCAATAGATGTAATCTACTACCTTGGTTGATTTAGGAAGCGAGGGGAAAAGTCCCTGTTTTATTTTATTTTTTATTTAAATAGAAATAATATTCGCCCTCGGTTTTAGGTCAAAATTGAGAGAAAAAATAATTCAATTTTGTCTCAATATATCTTTGTCATCCATTTATAAAGTAACAACGCTCAAGATAATACCAACACATTATTCCTGAAGAAACTCTCTACATCCAATCAGAACACAAACACCAACATTATATATTTAGGACGATAGGTTGTGAAACACAAACATTGGTAATGAAAGAATTTGTCATGAAAAAGGTGAAACTTAAAGAAGCTTAGAAAAAATCTTTGTGATTGATTGCAAGAGCAGAAAAAATTGAGTTTAAGATTGGTTTTCTTACATAATCTCTTATCATGTAATTGGAAATTTATTTTCTTTATCTAATCTTTTTTTATTTTATATCAGAAACAAATGCATACAATACCCAACATTTGATCTTCCCAAAGATTCAATGAAACGAGGTTTTAAGATTTGATTTTCACCCCAGATTGATAGTGATGACGATGAATCAGATTCAGAATTTGTTAAACATTTGTACTTGTAGAATGAAACAAAAATAATGTAAAATAAGAAACTTTGTATATTAATAAAATTATATATATATATATATATATATATATATATATATACACACAGAGAGAGAGAGCTTTACGGTTCATTTACACACACACACACACACACACACACACACACACACACACACACATATATATATATATATATATATAGAGAGAGAGAGAGAGAGAGAGAGAGAGAGAGAGAGAGAGAGAGATTTACGGTTCATTACATGTTATAGTTAATGTGCAACTTATATAAAATATTCTTTAACAAATAAAAACATATTTTATCACACCCCCGTAGTCAAAGCGAGAGGTTGAAAGACATTTAGAGAGGTTGAAAGACATTTAGACTAGTCTGTAAATCATCAAAGAGAACTCTAGGGAGGCTGTTTGTGAAGATATCAATAATCTGGTGTCAGGAAGGAACATGAAAAACGTGGATTTGACCACAAGCGACCTTCTCCCAAGCAAAGTGAATGTCCATCCTAATGTGTTTTGTACGTTGATGCTGGATAGAATTTCCGGATAGGTAAATAGCGCTAACATTATCAGAGTACCTAAGAGTAGCATCGAAAATACGAAAACGAAGCTCCAAGAGAAGGTTACAGAGCCAACACGATACTAAAACCTCATTAGAAACGCCGTAGTACTCAGCCAATACACTGGAATGTGGAAGCGTGGGTTGTCTCTTGGAAGACAAGTTAGATGAAGAGAAAGTGATCAGAGGTGTTGTGCTAAAATCCAATGGTGGAAATATAGTCAGTGAAACGTTGGTACCAAGCACGAGGTGCTTGCTTTAGACCATAGAGATATTTTTACAAGTTGAACAAATAATCTGGGTGATGAGGATCATAGAAACCCAATGGCTAATGCATATAGACAATTTCATGAAGATCGCCATGTAAAAGGACATTCTAAACATCTAACTAATGAATGGGTAAGGACTTGGAGAGAGTAATAGGGCGAATCTTAAACAATTTCGTTGTGATGGAAAAGGGGACCTAGCCTATGTGGGACATGTGACTCCAAACACAAGATGAGGATGAATTGTGGGGGTTGAAAAATGGAAACAATGTTGTTTTCATTTTTTGAGCTTAATTATATTTTTAAGAAAAGAGTTTGAATATAACAGCGGAAATAAAATATGCGAAGAATAAAAAGATAAGGAAAAAGAGATGACATCAGAATTTATAGATGTTCGGTCTAAATGAAGTGACCTAATCCTCTTTTTAAAATTTGATCTCGAGAGTATCCAATAATGCATATGATTTTTTAGTAGGTTAAACTCGTGAACCCCTTATACAAGTAAAATGAAGTTTCAAGTTAACTTCCAACCAAATAGCGAACAAAAACTATAGCAGTTAGTCTTCCTTCCAAACACGATCAAACACCAGTGTGGTTAGTCCCTAAGATGAATCGAGATTTTATACGAACTTATCTCGAACCAATGTTGAGTTTTAAACTAGCTATCTTCCAAACTAAATTGGGGTTTTACACTGGCTGACCACATATCCAATTGATATTTTACACCAGGATAATCTCGAACCAAATCGAGGTTTTACATGGACTAACTACAAACCAAATTGAGATTTTACACCAGGCTAATATCGGAAAAAAATTGAAATTTTACACGGGTTGAACTCACAAACCAAACGACGACTTAATACTAAATCTCCAAACAAAAGCTTTTAACACGTTTAGTTTTGAACCCAAATAAATACTCTCTTAAGAAGAATTATTCACCCAAGAGAAAAATAGTTCTTAGTGAATTTATAATATCACTCTTTCCTGAACAAAGTTCCCCACTTAAACACGAGAATTTTCTCGAAGCGATACAAATAAACTATATTGAGAGAAAGTAGAAAAATATTTTTAGAAAGAGAGAATGAGAAGAGTGAGATAGCTCACGGTTCTGGATGTGAAAAAGTGAAGGGAGATACCTCTATTTATAGGCAATAGGTTGGCACAAAAAAGAAAAAGATTCATGGGCCAATTTAATGTCCCAATCCATTGAACCCTTAAGCCAATCGATTGAATGACTAACATAATCGATTACAAATGTCGATTTTAGAAATTTTTGATAGAGAGTCGTTATCTTTCATTAAGACATTGTCCTAATCGATCATGGACACAATTTGCACTAATTGAAACGATTGAGAATATGCTCCAATTGATTGGACAATTCAAAAAAACTTATCAAACATATTCTGACAGTTCCCAATTCATCTAGCTAGGGTCTAAAATATTTTTAGATTGTTTTATTTGAGAAATAGAAGCTTTTAAAAAGGTTTTTGTGAGTGTGTGACCATATTACTTTACGAAAACACCCTTGTATTTTTACAAAACATTGATCACTCAGACACAATCAAACAAACTTTCACACTTCCTCTCTTTTACAGTTTGAAGCATAAAGACTTTTGCAAATGCACTAATCATATAAGCACTTGCTTGAATCTTCTTGTAGATGAGACTTGAGATATTTTTAAGTTGGTTACCATCATCAAATAATTTAGATCATCAAAATCCTAATTCATCAGCTTGATTCAGTGAAAAAGCTTTGAACAAACTATTTTGTGCATGCTTGACATATTTGCTTGACTTTATACTTTAAAGTTAGATTGAATCTTCATAGGTTATTATCAAAAGTTGTATCTTTTCAAGTTGTCATTATCAAAACTAAACAATAATAAATATGATCTGCTTAACTTTAATCACCTAAAAAAACACATACTTTCGTAACCCACATATCTATTTATAATATAACAACCATAATATCACATGTTATGGACCCTGAAGATTGGGCCTACACTTTTTTTTTTACACAAATTAATATTAATATTCAAAACCTATTACTATTGATCACTTTTGTCGGACTTAAACATCTTCAAATGAATTATAAATATTTCAAACAGTATCTTCAATCCAATATATATTTTGGTATCTGATAAATCAAATTGAGTCATCAAGTGAGTAGTCCAATTGCCATTTCCCCCAAAATGAAACACCTCAGTAGAGACAAATTGGCCTAGATTTCATTTCAACTTGATTTATGCTTTTAAGTTTTCTAATTGGTTGCATTGTAGATTGATTTTTGATCCATAACACATGCATTATGCAGGATATGAATTCCTTGAAGAGGATTAGACATATTAATACAAAAAGATAGGAAATTCTTTTGGAGCAAACAATGAAATGTAACAAGAAAATATTTGCTGATTCGGTATATTTTACTTATACTTAATCTATACACACTACACTCATGCAACACTGTAAAACAAACAAAAGGACAGACAAAACCCCATAAAATAAAAAAGAAAAGAGAAAAAAAGGGGTCTTATGGATTTTTTTTTCCACTATATAATAAATCAATGGAATCCTCTACCTCTTGATTGATAAAGTTCCAACCTACTTTTGGCCTCTAGTAAAATTTCATCAATTTTTGGTACAGCCATTAGATGCCCTTGCTTTGTGCACCACTCAAGTACTATTAACACCTCTTCTTGCCCAAGAGTCTCATTCTTAGGAACATGCAGTGCAACAAAACACAAAAGAAGCAAAGAAGGAATTTGCACCATTTGTTCCCCAAAGTAAACCAGTTGAATCAAATGCTTAGCACCACCTGCTTGTATAATAGCATTGCAATGAGTCTCATGTAGATAGTTATCCGTCTCAGCAAATTTAATGAGAGCATGTGCCGCTTCCATCGAAATCACAGGTTCTCTTTCGTCGAGCAACATCACCAATGGCTCGATGAATCTTGTTTCAGTTGCTCTAAATGTCCTTGCTAAGTTACCAACAGCTTTAACACAAGGTATGAGTAAATCATCTGCATCGCCTTTTTGGACAATTCTGAGAAACTGTTCCACTACAGCTTTTGCAGCAGGAGAAGTTGGTTTGAAAGCCGAACGTCTTAGTTCTGCATGTTCTGCTGCAACAGATGTAATTTCCATCAAAGCCATTGCTGAATAATGTTGTACATCATCAGTACCTTTTTCTAACAGAACTGCGAAACACAAAAGAGCTCTTGATTCCGTTATGGTATGACATATAGTAACATTTCCTCTACATAATTGCCATAAAGCTCTAGCTGCCATTGCTTTCATTTGTGCTTTTGTAACAGGATCTTCAAATTCTCTCCCTTTGATACTCGTCCCCGCTATAGATACAGTATTATTACCGCCGCTGTTTTGGTTCTGCTTTACAACTGCATTGTGGATAGTCTCTTCTTTAGGATCCTTACTATTTCCCTTCATGGTCATTGTGTTAACCACGTTATGTATTTGATTAGATGTTTGACTAGCACCAGGGTGAGAAACAAGCTTATAATCATCTTCTTGAACACCTTTGCTTTTGCTATTATCAGTTGTGTTACTCGCCATTACAAGCGAATGTAAGGAAGACATGTTCTGTTTGTTTGTAATAGCATATTTACTATGTTCTTGAATGGTTTCAAAAGCAAGATGACTAACAAGCAAACGGATCGCGTTATTCTGCGCGAAATGATCTTGACATTTAGGATGATGTGCAGCAAGTTCTGAAATAGCCCAAGCAACAACTATCTGAACCTTCATGTGACCATCTTTTAGTACTTTACCAAAAACAGAACAAACGCCACAATTCACAATGTGTTCAACGCTTTCTGGATCTCTACCGAGTAAACCGATAGCTCTCGCAGCGTTTTCTTGACCGTCTAATCTTCCTTCTTTAAGAAGTTTAAGAAGAGGTGGAACTCCACCTTCTTCTAGAATCAGTTTCCCGTAACGATCATTGTCGCGGGCTAAAGAAACCAATGAAGCTGCAGCATCAGAACGTTCTTCTATTGAACAACCAGAGAGAAGAATTGCGACTTGTTCCCAAATGAGACAGAGGATTGGTTCGTTAGCTGCTATAGGAGGAAGACCTAGATATTCATCGTCGCGTTCTTCGGCCGAAGCGGAGACTCTTAAGAGCCATTGAACGTCTCCGAGGGAGTTTTCAAGCTGCATTGAGGTTTTGCGGAATGCGGTGGCGGGAATGATTGTGAAGAGACGTTTTACCAAGCCATTGACACGACATTTGATGACTAATCCGAGGGCTTTGTCGAGGACTTGTTCGACGTCTTCGATGATTCGCCTTGTTGGACGTTCGTAGAGGTCGTTGCTGTTCCTTGCGGCTTGTCGGAGAAGGCCTGCGAGTTTTTCTGTTTTGGTTTTTAGCTCTAGACATTCTTGTTTGAAATTTTGTGCCTCGTCGGCAAATTTAGATACCTGGTCCGCCATTTGTATCGGCCTCGCCAGAATCTCCTTCACGATGCTCGACATGGTGGTGGTGGTTGTTGTTATATGTTGTTGTTGTTTCTAAGGATATGTTTTTAAGGCGGTGTTGTTATTTGGAATATTGTGTTGTGTTGGAGGCCAAGGAGGTTCTGGCTGTGGGCGGTGGTGGGGTTGTGTATGCATGCTACATTGGAGTGGTGGTGGTGGTGGTTGTGGTGGCGGCGGCGGGGGAGAGTGAAGGGAGTTATGGGGGAATGGTGTAGCGGAGTTTTCTGAATGTTTTGTGTTAAAAAAATGAGCGATAGAATTGTTTTGGTTATATATAGAGGAAGTTGAATTGGTTGGTCCAAACTGTATGATGATCTTGATGAAACTAGGATACCCACGTACATATATACAGGCCAATAGAAATGGAAAATCATCTTTTATTTTGTTTGACAGCAGAAATGGAAAATCAATTCTTAATTGTCAATTGGGAAACTTTTTACTTTCTTTATTACATAATAATAATAATAATAATAATAATAATAATAATAATAATAATAATAATAATAATAATAATAATAATAATAATAATAATAATAATAATAATAATAATAATAATAATAATAATAATAATAATAATAATAATAATAATAATAATAATAATAATAATAATAATAATAATAATAATAATAATAATAATAATAATAATAATAATAATAATAATAATAATAATAATAATAATAATAATAATAATAATAATAATAATAATAATAATAATAATAATAATAATAATAATAATAATAATAATAATAATAATAATAATAATAATAATAATAATAATAATAATAATAATAATAATAATAATAATAATAATAATAATAATAATAATAATAATAATAATAATAATAATAATAATAATAATAATAATAATAATAATAATAATAATAATAATAATAATAATAATAATAATAATAATAATAATAATAATAATAATAATAATAATAATAATAATAATAATAATAATAATAATAATAATAATAATAATAATAATAATAATAATAATAATAATAATAATAATAATAATAATAATAATAATAATAATAATAATAATAATAATAATAATAATAATAATAATAATAATAATAATAATAATAATAATAATAATAATAATAATAATAATAATAATAATAATAATAATAATTTAAAAAGTTTTTGATTTTGTAAATTGTTTTGCCTCAGCCAAAGACCCACTAACTTTGAAGCAAGGTATCATTGAAGACAACTCCAGTCGGCCTTTTTATCAAACATTATGTCTGACTCCGCCAACTCGTAAGGAGACATTATGGCAGAGGAAAGAAACAATGTTCAATCCATGTGGACTAAAGAAGGATTCAACAAAGAATTCTTTAAGGAATAGGCAAAATACCTTTTTTGATCCCTTAAGTTTATCTCGGAATTTATTTTGGTCTCTTAATTTTAAAAAATAAACTCGAACTTAAGTCATCTTGATTACAAAGAGAAATTAAGTACAATTGAATCACTCCTAATTTGTTGTCCTAAGATTACAAACTGGAAATATATTTATATTTCCATAAAGCTTTCTCTATTGACTTTTCTTGGCATCTTCTCAACCAATATCATGTAAATATATTGGTCTTATATTAACCTTATTCTTCTTCTTCTAATCCTTTCCATTCTCAATAACATAAATTTTTATTTTCTTCACCTTTAATCCATCATTTCCTTTACTCTCTTCATCAAAACTTTCTAAGTTTTTCTCTTTGTTATCATCATTATCAGTTTCAAGAATTTAACCAATATCAAATTCTTGATCAAAACAAAAAGTTAGGAAATTGAAACTGAAAATTCATACATTTCATCACCAATTCATATTTCTCAAATCTTACATTGCAACATCTCTTTCTACTGATGAGAGAATGGTTGTTACTGATGAGAGTTTAGAGTTTCTAGCTTTTTCGTTTTTGAATTTCAAAGCACTATCTCTTTTAAGTTGTGATGGATTTAGCACGGATGGATTAATTGATGTTGCTACTAATTGAGAGTCACTTGTGTTTTGTGTGATGAAATTAACATTTGAGAATCAATTGAGAATTAGAATATGGTGATATTCTTTATTTATGCTGAAAAAAGATGAAGTTATGATGAAGAGAATCTATCAAAAAAATATTATGTAGAATTTGAAGAAACTGAAATTTTTTGATCTCAGCAGTATGCAGAGCTTGAAACCGCGTTAAAAATTGTAAAAGCTTTCACACTCTCTCTGGTTTATGGGTGGTTTCAGCGCGATATCTTCAAGTTATGTACCTTGCGTGCGCGAATTTGACTTTCTTGAATTTTAGCTATGCTCCTCATGATATAATATGATATTAAATCATTAGAAAAAATAGTTAATTCATTAAAAAAAAATGTTAGCTGGGTCTTGTTGCAGTTGCATAATTCATTAGAAAAAATAGTTAAATGTAGAATGAGATATTAATTCAGAAGAAGCAGTGCAGGGTTGGAATGAAAGTGATATAATGATGGTCATGTGTAAAACTGAACACTTTATATATTTTCAATTGTAAATTTTTAACAAAAAGTGTTAGGTGGCTCAATGGTACAAAAGTTTGCTTTGAAATCAATATTGCATGGGTTCGAATTTAGGTTAAAGGCAAAATTTTGGATTTTTTTTCTTGGAATTTTGATGATTTAGTGATACATGTGTACACGTCATATGCCATGCGTGCAAAGATATGTCACGTCGAATGCCGCGTGTGCTAAAATAGACATCGTTTGTCAGAATTAGATGGAAAGGAAAGGACGAACATGGCACTATTTAAACAATTAAAGGATCAACTTGAAAGTTTTAAAAGTTAAGGGACTAAAATGGATCCCGAGGTAAAGATAAGGGACTAAAAAAGATATTTTGCCTAAGATAATGGGAAGAATCCAATCAAATGCTAGAGGAATAACTCCCACGTCTCCTATAGACACACCACTAGTTATGCTTCGATGGATCATGGTCAACATATACCCCAAAGTAAAGATACTTCTGCCCCGTTTTTTTAGAAGGTATAATATCGAGTTATTCCTAGAGACATTCTCAAAGCGTCAGGGTGTCCACAACCATTAAGGAGACGTCTACAAGGGTGTCATTTGTCCCGTGGAGTTCTTCGCTTGAGTACGCCCGCAGGAATTTGAGGCGGACCATTGCCCCACCAACCAGACAAAGAGAAATTTGTCTTTGCCAACATTACGATTGGTCGAAGAATATGCGATTAGGAAGGAGATGGCCATATCCTTATGACTTCTTCTATGAGTTGAATATTCTATAAAGCTGTTGCACAATTTCAATACTTAATATGCTAATTGTTAAACATTGCGACCACAAAGAGTCTTGTGAATTCCACGCAATATGGCGTAAGTCACTATTTTCAAATAGACCTTATGTCTAAGGATCACTCTTTTCAATGTAGCTTGCACACCCCTTCCTAGGAGCTAGCCACTCCAAGAGCGCTGGTGGTGGAACCCAGAGGTGTCCATCCCGAACTAAGTCAACCCTGGGGGCATGGAAAGGAACCTTACCTTTTACCGTGGACGATTCTGAGCGGCACATAGAAAGCATAATAACTCTTCTAAATCAGTTCTAGTAACAACGAAACTCCAATTGAGACTACACAACTGTTGCACTTGGATTTTCAGCTACTAGAAAGTCAACAAAAAATGTCAATGAAAAGACATTTACTATGAGCACTAATGAAGCATCTTTAAAGAAGCAGTAATGGGGAGGCGTCGACAGACCAACGATGAGGGGTTGACCGAGTCGTCGATGCAACGTGACATGGTTTAGAGGACTCTCAAGGATAAATCCCAAAGACCCAACTCACTAGGAAATGTGTCCAAAATCTCGAGAAGGACGGTCGACAGAAGCCCTCATCTCATCAAAAAGGGTCAGTCGACTGAACGATTGTGTATAAAAGACTTAGTAAATTTACAAGTCTTGGGGCCTTAATAGACGTCGTCGATAGCGCAGTGGAGCAGTTACAGTCAAGGGGTGTTAAAGAAGTGGAAATCAGTTACCACCCCATGTGGGTTGTAAGCAGATAGCGTCTTAGAAGACACCTAAGCGCACTAGTGAGAACTCGAAGGATTGAACATGGAGCAAACGTAGTAGTCCCTCGGTGCTCATAATCTTTGTCGACGTTTACTTTGTAAATAGAATAAATATCACACTCATACATGAGATCAGAGGTCGTAAAATTTCATATATACTCTCTATAACATTAGAGTACCTGAGTCAAAGGGCGAAACAGTTGACCGAGAAACATGTATGCGTCTGCGTCCACACTTTTTTCTTAGTCTTTTTACTTCCTTAAATGGGACACTGTATTTTTTCTTTTACTTTGTTTAATGTTATTTACTGCATTTTACCTTATCATTTATCACAACTTAACTCCATTTAAAGTCTTTTGATACACTGCATTCAATTCACAAGCGCTTGTATTCACACAAATTATTTGCACAAATTTCTTTGAATACTTTCTGAGTTAATCTCATAGAGTTTCAAACTCGTGATTGTTTATCAAAAACACCGGTAAACAAGAGTTTCAAAGCAAAGTGAAGTCGGGAAGGTTCTCACATCCCACAGTTGACAACACCTTGTAGTTGTCGTCACGTGGACTTCATGACGGCTGATGGACACCAGCGGCACCATTGAGGCAAGTAAAATATAAATCGCTCACAAGGTAAACAAATTTTAAATTACAGGGATATGAGAAAGCCATGACGCAATAATAACTCACAACCAATCAGAAGTGTAACGCGGAAATAAAGAAGAGCCAAATACATATCCAGTACACAAATTTAAATAAAACAACAAATCATTAAGGTAAAAATATATTTATATAAATAATGTTATCATAGATAAAATACAAATTCTTGGAAACATTGTAGGAAAAAAGGGAAATAATCAAGCTTCGGCGTCCGGAAATGATGCACCCTGATCATTCTTTAGAGTCTTCTTAAAATGACCCACTACTTCTATGGGAATATTAATGTTA